GGCCGAGGCGCGGCAAGGGCGGCGCGGCGAGGGCAGCCCGGCGGTGGCGAGCAGCGGCGGGGAGCCAGCGGCGGCGATCGGCGGATGCAGCGGCGCGCAGAAGGCCCATTCGGGCCGGCCGCGAAGGCCCTGCGTGGGAGTAGGACGTGGCGTTTAAGGAGTGGCCGAAGCGGCCCTGCCTGATTTCTGTTCTTCAATTGCTGTGGCGGCCAATTGTGCCCCAAAAAAGCTTACTGGAAATCCCATGGGTAAAAAGTCTCACATTTATTGCTCTTCCCGATCCCCTGTCACGCGGTGGCGTCACACGAAAGCGGCACGGCCGCCCAGGCCGCTGAATCAGGCAGAGCGGCTGCGCGAAGTCGCAGCAAGGCTGCGGGCAGCGGGGGGCACAGCACTGGCTACCAGTGCGTCAGCCAAGCGGCCAGCGGCCGAGCAGCTGAGCGGCAACAGCGCACAGCGGCCTAACGGCAGCGCGAGCGCACAGCTGGTGCACCCCCGGTCTAAGCCCGCCCTCCAGGCGGCGGCAGCGGCCGGCCGGTCTTCAGGCGCGGACGCCATTGGCGCCAGGGCGCAGGTTGAATTCGAGAAGCGCAAGCAAGCGCTGGGAGACGCAGGTGCGCAGCCTGTGGAGCTGCCGAACCCTTCCCCGCCCATCATGCGCGGCAGACTCAAGCAAAGGCTCAGCGCGTGGCGGGCTGTGGTCACCAGCACGCTGGTGATATCCTGGATAGCGCTGGGCGTGCAGCTGGAGTGGTCCGCTGCGGCAGGGCCGCCGGCCCCCAAGGAGAAGCGCAACCACAAGTCTGCGCTGGAGCACGCGGGTTTCCTTACCACGGAGATTGTCCGGCTCGAGCAATCGCAAGTGATAATGCGCCGCGAGAAGCGGCCGGCTGTGGTCAGCCCGTTGGGCGTGGTGGAGCAGGAAGGCAAACTCCGCATGATCCTGGATCTGCGGTATGTTAACAAACACCTAGAACATCATAAATTCAAGTATGAAACGGTCGCCCAGCTGGGCGACGTCCTCCTGCCCGGAGATTATATCTTCTGCCTCGACCTGAAAGGAGGATACCACCATGTGGATATGCACGAGGACGCCTGGGAATACCTGGGTTTCGCCTGGGACAATCAGTACTACGTGTTCACCCAGATGCCTTTCGGCCTGGCGCCGGCCTGCTGGGTGTTCACCAAGCTCATGCGCGAGCTGCTGAAGCACTGGCGGCGTCTAGGCCGCAGGATTACAAATTATATCGACGACTTCTGCGGAGGGGCCGCGGACAAGGACAGCAGCTTCGAGTTCCAGGAGGACTGCAAGCGTGACTGCGCTGACCTGAACCTGCTGCTGAGCGGCGGCGCAAAAGACCAGACGGCGGCCTCGCCGGCTGAGGCCGTGCAGCTGAGGAAATACCTAGGCTTTCACGCGGACACCGCCAAAGGTTGCCTCATGGCCACAGAGCGTAAACGCGAAAAGACGTTCGCCGCCCTCGAGCCCCTGCTGCAGCGGCAGCCCTGCAGGGCGACAGTGCGGGAACTGATGGAGCTTGCGGGGCGCCTCCAGGACCAGCGGCCGGCATTCGGGCCCCTGGTCTCCCTGAAAACGTTTCACATGTACAAGTTAATCGCCGAGGGCCAGGGCCCCGACCCCTACCGCCCCAAGCTAGACCGCTGGGTGCTGGTTACGCCCGAGGCGCGTGCGGAGATGGCCTGGTGGGCGGACCACTTCGACCAGTACAACGGCTCGGCGCCGCTGTGGCGCGGGTCCAAGCCAGGGTTTGTGATCCACTCAGACGCAGCCGGAACGTCGGACAGCGGCAGGGGCACCCTCGGCGGCTGGGGCGCGTGGATGGTGGACCGCGACGGGAGTGTGCTGCGAGCCGCGGGCAAGTGGACGCCCCCGGAGAGCTTGGCCCCGCACGCGCATTCTACTTGGCTGGAGGTGAACGCGGCCGGCCTGAGGGCCCTGCCGGCCTTCAATCGCGACGGCCGCATGGACGGGCGCACAGTGCTGCTGGTGGTGGACAACAGCGCGGCGCGCTACCTCATCGAGAAGATGGGGTCCACAAAGCCGGAGCTGCAAGAGCTTCTCGAGAAGATATTTTGGTATTGCTTCGAGCGCGGCATCACGCTCCGCGCTGAGTGGGTCCCACGGGAGGAGAACGAGCTGGCGGACGCGCTCAGCAAAATAGTCGACAAGAACGACTGGATGCTGCACGAAGAGGAGTTTGGGCGCTTGGCTCGCCGCTTCGGGCCCTTCGAGGTGGACTTGTTCGCATCTCACACCACCAGGCAGCTGCCCAAGTACTTCTCCCTGTACCACACCCCAGACACTGCTGGCATAGACGCGTTTGCCCAGCACTGGGGCCGAGGCTGCTGGTGCAACCCGCCTTTCACCCTGATTGGCCGGGTGCTGAGGCACGCGCGCGAGTGCGGCGCCAGGATGTGCCTGCTGGCGCCCGCTTGGCCGAGCGCGGCCTGGTGGCACCAGCTGGTGCTGCCGGGGGGGACGCACTTCCGCCCGTTCGTGCGGGAGTGCGTCGTACTGCCCAAGAGGCGCGATCTCTTTGTGCCCGGCGCGGCGGGAGGCACCGCGCCGAGCGGCAGGGCGCACTGGACGGTGATGGCCCTGCTGGTGGACTTCGGGCAGGAGGCGGCGGCCGGCTGGGTGGCCGTCCCGCTAACATCAGCACCGCTGGCGCGACGCAGGTGACGAGGAGCTGAGGCTGGCGCTGGGGGACGAGTACGACGTGACGCCCCCGCCGATGCGCGGGTTATTGCGGCGCCTGCTGCAGGACGCGGCGGCGCTGCGGGCCCGCGCGACAATTCAAGCCGCAGTGCGCGAGACCCGCAAAATGGCGCAATTTTTCGGCCTGCAGCAGCACGAGGTGCTGGGGGTCAGCGACGCCCAGCTGGCGGCGTACCTGACGCAGCTCACTGAGGACTCGCGCGCCGCTGGCATTGGGCCGTCGCGCGTGGAGGGCGCGCGGGCGGCCGTGGCGTGCATGCGCACGCTGCGGGGCCTGCCCGCGGTGGACGCGGGAAGGCGCCCCCTGACGGCGCTGGCCGCGGGTGTGGCGGCGCGCACGCTGCAGCCGACGCGGCTGCACCGCGAGCCGTGGGCGCTGGACGACGTTAAGGCGCTGGTGGCCGCGGCGCGGGGGGGCGATCTGGCGGACCTCATGACGGGGGCGGCGGCGGCGCTGGCTTTTGGAGGGTTCATGCGCGCGGGCGAGCCCCTGAAGATCATGGTCCACCCGGACTTGCTGGTGTTCCAGCCGGGCGACGCAGGAGTGGACGCCTTCCTGTGGGCGTCAAAAACTGACCAGGCGATGAAGGGGGAGTGGATCACGGTGGCGGCGGCGCGGGGGGAGCCGCACTGCCCCGTGGGGCTCCTCAAGGACCTCCTGAAAGAAGGGCAGTACGTCACCGGCTTCGAGCAGGTGCCGCACCTTGAGGACTCGTGGAGCCGGCTCGATTTTGGGCCGCTGGTGCGCGCGGTCCACCGCCGCGAAGGGCGGCTGGAGCTGCGCTACAAGGTGTGGGAAATGTCGCCCGACAAGCCGTTCATGCCAGGGGTGTCGGCCAGCACATTCGCTGAGCGCTTCGCGGGGCTCGCAGAGCGGGCGGGCCTGCCGCTGGCGAAGCGCATGCTGCATTGCGGTCGCATTGGCGCGGCGTCCGAGGCGGGGCGCCTGCGGGTGGCCGCCGACCTGTACCAGGAGAACGGCCGCTGGCGCTCCAGCAAGACCGCCCAGCTCTACACGCGGCGCGCGGCTGAGGCGCGCCGCGGCGTGTCGCACGCAATTCTCACGGGCAAGCCCCCCACCGCGCCGCAGCGCGGTGAGACGGGCGGCGCGGCGTGCGCAGCGCGGGCGCCGGAGGCGCCGGCACAGCCGGGGCCCGCAGCGCCGGCGCCCGGGCAGGGCGGAGCCGGCGACGCATCGGCGGCGCGCCGCGGGGTCGGCGAGGCCCC